CCGACCCCACCTACTGAGCTCTGTTCCTAACAAAGAGATTGCGAGCCTGGGTTCCGACTCCTGGCAGTGCTTGACCTCGCAGGGCAAGTCAGGGGCCAGGATGCCCTTGGATCAGGGCCGAGACAGGAGGGAGCAGCCGCCTTGGGGGACACACCTACTCTGATCCCCTCTCAGACATCTGGGAATAGCCCCACTGCCACCTGCAGCCTCAGCCTGGACTGTTGCCCGTGAGTGAACCTGGGCCCATAGGATTAACAGGGGCGATAGTGCCTGGGCCCTACTTAGCTGAGGTGGCAGAGGGCGAGAGGCTCTGTGCTGTGTCCCTTCTGAGGGTCCCTTTGCAGTCCTACCAGCCCCAGCTGAAGCAGCCAGAACTGCTGCCAGTGTGGGCACATGTCTGGGTGCAGGAGACCTGGGCCTCCTTTGGGCCCCTCCCCTGAGAGTCTGGGGCAGTCAGAAGATGTGGGCCCTGGGTGGGAGCAGCCCACCTCAGCAGCACTGCCACTGCCTTTGGCCACCTGAGGTGCCCCCTGGGCCTCCCGTCCCTGTCCAGTGTACCCCTGCATCTCTGTATGGCCTCGCTCCTGCCATCCCACTTTGCATTCTGCATTAGATACTTCTCTGAAAACTGTGTGAGTGGCTCTCTTGCCAGTGGAAGATCTGGAATGCAGCCGGAGCACTCTCTCTGAGGATCCCAGGGTGACTGTGTGGGGAACAGTTCGGTCACAGCCTCCTCTCAGGGACAGGCCACAGCTCTAGGGCTGCCCATCATCTGTCACAGGCGTCTGCCATGTCCCTGGAGCTGAGGGAGGCAGGGGATGCATCAGTGTCCCTGTCTGTCCCTGGTGAGAAGCAAGGCTATCTGCCTTCCACTTGCTTCTCAGGATGCCAAGAGGCCTAGGAACCCAGAAACCCCCTTGCAGGAGCTGGCACATGGGGGTGCCAGGAAGGGCATAGCTCCTGCCCCCAGGCCTAGGCATGCTGCTTGCTCCCCATCCCCACTTCCTCCTCCACCCCAGTATGTACTGGCTGGGCCTTGCCCTCGGACCTGGAGGCTCTGTCCTGGGCTGGGGCCTGCCAGCAGCCACCAAAGCCCAGCAGTCTTTCTGCATCTTAGAAACATGACACAGTGCCCTCAGCCCCTCTACATCCAGCACAGTCCGCCCCATTCTGCCCCAGGCACTGCACAGCCCGTCTGGGGACCAGACTGCCCCACTACCCATCTTTGTTGTCCATGAGTCCTTGGCCTCAAACAAGCACGTGTGGCCATTGTGTGCCTGCCCTAGTGACTCAGTGGTTTTGTGAGGAGCAGAGTGTATGTTTTTTGCCTCAGAAACTATACTCTTCTGTATAACAGACCAATAAACAGCATTTGTCAACACATGAGCCTCTGCAACTGGACATAAGACTGTGTGCCTCTTTAAGCTCCACGGTTGGCAGCCCCCAAGGGCAAGGATGGCAGAAAGAACAAAAGTTTCCAAGAGAGTGGCATTCCAGCCTGGGGGGTATGGGCTGGTCAGGAATTCGGGGTGATAGCCAGACCTCAGGTACTCAGTGCCCTTGAGGGGACCTCAAGAGTCATGCTGGCCCCTCCAGCCTGTGAATGAGAGAAGGTCCCTGTCCCATCCCTACCCCCTGCCTGTCTTGCTGACCAGGGAGAAGCTGGAGCTTGACGAGGCCGCTGCAGCTGGTGGTGAAGGAGCCGCCCCTATGGCTGTGGCTCTCTCCCCGTGAGCACTGTCAGAGAGGCCTGGATCAGGCTGCGGCTGAGCAAAGCATCAGGAGTCAGATTCTGCTGAGCTATGGACAGGCCTGGCTGTGACAGGTCTCCACCTCTATTCCTGCTCTTCCCCAGCCCAAGCGCTACTGGTTCCATCATTGATGACTCCAGGGAGAGGATACCAGTCACCCAACATGTTCTCTTATTCTAGAGGACACTGGCTTCCTGGATGTTAGTGCCTGTTGTCAACTCACTCAAAGCTGAACCCAGCTAGTCCATGGTCCTAGCAGGCTGAACCCAGCTTTATTATATAATATATATAATACTATATAATATATATATGGAGAGAAAGAGAGAAACAGAGTCTTGCTGTCTCTGCCAGGATGGAGTACAATGCCATGATCACAGCTAACTACAGCCTTAAACTCCTAGGCTCATGCAATCCTCCCAACTCAGCCTCCCAAGTAGCTAGGGCTACAGGTGCACCACCATGGCTAATTTTCTTTCTTTTCTTGGGTGGGGGGTAGAGGCAAAGGCTCACTATGTTGCTCAGGCTGCTCTTGAACTCTGGCCTCAAGCAATCCTCTCACCTTGGCCTCTTGAAGTGCTAGGATTGTAGGCTTGAGCCACTGCACCTAGCCCTGAACCCAGCTTTCAGGACAGAACACAGACTAGTGGACAGAGCTGTCCAAACAAAGAAAGCAGTTGAGGCAGAGAGCTCTGGGGCCAGGGAACTTGAGAAGCCCTTCAGGGGAACACCCCCAACACCCCAGCTGAGTCTGTTGCCTGCAGGAATCAGAATTCCCTTCACTGCGACCACCTAAAGGAAATTCACCTAGCCTGGGAGTAACCCGGTTCCTTCACACATTTCCATCCTGCCCACCTCCCCCAGACTGCTGGACTGGGATCCTAGGACCAGAGGCGATCCCACAGCCAAAATGATGGGTCAGCCAGGGGCAGGAAGAGCAAGCAGCACAGTGAAGCACAGCAGGCTCCTGAAACACCATCTCAAGGAACCTTCGCATTCTGCAAAGTCAGGTCTTCTCTCACAGAGCAGGAGCTGGTAATGGAAGCACCTGGTTTCATACTTTAGGATACATATATATATACTTTTCCAATTATCCTCACCCCAGACCCCTTTCTTATAAGCTCCAGCTGAGGTGGGGGTGGGTGTCTTTTTTTTTTTTTTTTTTTTTTTTTAGATGGAGTTTTGCTCTCGTTGCCCAGGCTGGAATGCAATGGTGCAATCTTGGCTCACTGCAAACTCTGCCTCCTGGGTCCAAGCAATTCTTCTGCCTCAGCCTCCTGAGTAGCTGGGATTACAGGCATGTGCCCTCTCACCTGGCTAATTTTTTATTTTTAGTGGAGACAGGGTTTCTCCATGTTGGTTAGGCTGGTCTCGAACTCCCAACCTCAGGTGATCTGCCCACCTCGGCCTCCCAAAGTGCTAGGATTACAGGCGTGAGCCACTGGGCCCAGCATGGGGGGGTGTCCTTTGCATACAGTTTCTTCCTAAAGATTTAGTGACAGCCCTCAGATGACAGCCAAGTCATCACTGCCAGGGCAGGGTCTTCATCTGTGTTTCCAGTGGGCACAGAGCCTGGCACTGAGTGTGCACCCAGGAAGGGTCACCCTAACCCTACCCCTTCCCTAAAGCGGCACTAGTGGGCCAATGGAAGTGACCCAGCTCTTCCAGGAGCTACCAGCAGAGGGAGCCCATGTCTCACAAGTGAAAAGGGCAGGCGCAGTGAGGAGGGCTGAATTCAGAACTTTCATTTTAATTTTAAAACATTTTGTGAGACTGTTTCCCAGGCTGGAGTGCAGTGGCACGATCTTGGCTCACTGCAGCCTCTGCCTCCCGAGTTCCAGCAATTGTCCTGCCTCAGCCTCCTGAGTAACTGGGACTACAGCCACCACGCCCAGCTAATTTTTGTATTTTTAGTAGAGACAGGGTTTCATCATGTTGGTCTCAAACTCCTGATCTCAGGTGATACGCTTGCCTCGGCCTCCCAAAGTGCTCGGATTACAGGTGTGAGCCACCATGTCTGGCCTGAACGTTCTTGAAGTCAACCCTTCTTCAGAGAACACAAGACACTATGGCAACCACCCCCTCTTCCTCAAAGATAACCCCTATCCAACCACCTCAGGAAGAGGCATGGAGTCAGCTTCCCCTGCAGGGACCGGTAGTCAGACAGGTGCTATCAGAGTGGAAATGAGAGACTGGGGACCCTCAGCCAGCCTGGTCTCCAGCAAGGCCCAGAGCAAGTGGCTTCCGGACCTCACTTCCCACACCACCTCCTCCCAAGACAGCCTGCTAAGGGCTGGTTTCCCCTGGCCATGGGGAAGAGAAGATACAGCCACAGGGACAAGGGGCTTCCAGGCTGAGACAATGTCTCTTTGGCCCCTGACCTCCAGCCTCTTCTTGTTCCTTTCCCTCAGAGGCAGCTTTATGGACTCGCGGCTGGCCTGCCATGACCATTCCCCTAGAAGCAGCTTCTCAGGAAGTGCTCACCCTCTGTGCCCAGATCCTGGGGCACCACTCCTGTACCTTTTTTTTTTTTTTTTTTTTTTTTTGAGACGGAGTTTCGCTCTTGTCACCCAGGCTGGAGTGCAATGGCACGATCTCGGCTCACCGCAACCTCCGCCTCCTGGGTTCAGGCAATTCTCCTGCCTCAGCCTCCTGAGTGGCTGGGACTACAGGCATGCGCCACCGTGCCCAGCTAATTTTTTTTGTATTTTTAGTAGAGACGGGGTTTCACTATGTTGACCAGGATGGTCTCGATCTCTTGACCTCGTGATCCACCCGCCTCGGCCTCCCAAAGTGCTGGGATTACAGGCGTGAGCCACCGCGCCCGGCCTCCTGTACCTTTTTTACTGGGTCTGAGTCTAGGACTAGCCCCGGATGCCACAAAGGGTGGCAGATGCTAGGGGTACTGTGAGCTGAGCTGGGGTCTGACTGCAGCTCCAGCGACCTCTCCTGCTAGCCAGTGACCACTTGGCCACCTCAATCCTGTCTCCTTATCTGCCAAAATGGGGCTAATTCTTATTTACTTCACTGGGCTGTTGAACAGTGAAACAAAATCACGCTTGTAAAATGGTCTGAGTAAACAAAATGCTTTGCAGAAGTTTGAGACCAACCATAACTGCCATTTTCAGAGCTGCCTGAGGACTTGCTGAGCATACAGGCATGTGATCTCACCGCTGCTGCTGGGTTTCCCTACAGGCCTGTGCCTCCTTTTGCAAGAAAATGACCCAGATGCTGCAGGCTGGCAGCTCCAGCTCAGGTTTCAGTGCAGGTTTATTTCAGTTTTATATTTTATTCCAGGCAAGTGCTTATTACATGGATAGTATTCATGTCTCAGTAACTGAAGTCTCGGAGCATGAACAGCCACTAGAATACAGTTCAATAGTAAAAATACAATATGTACAAAATTAGGGTTTTTGTTTTGTTTTTTTTTCCCACACAGCAGATGTATCCAAACACATAAAAATCTCTACAGTCTGGGGTCGCTACAGTTTATATTTCAGGGAACAGAGACACAGTGACCAAGTCCTCACTGTAAACAAGGGCCACCTCTTTGGGGGCTTGGGGGTGGGACCCTGGGATGGGGGGAGAAGCAGCTGTTTCTGGAGGGAGTGGGGTTATGGTGACCCCCCAGTTACCCTCCAGGCATTCCCTGCCTTCTTTGGCCCCCCACAAGGAACCAACCTCCCCCTCTCCCCGAGGTAAGGACTCCCAGCCAGTGAGCCACTCTGAACATCAAAAGGTAATACACGAATGAGAGGTAAGATGTGTGTGTGTGTGTGTGTGTGTGTGTGTGTGTCCCAGGCTGGAAGGGCTAGGGAGGGAGAGGCAGGCGGTCCCACAGGGTGAGGACAGATGTGGTCCTGACAGCTCTCAGAGGGAGGCGCCCAAGGAAGGGCCAGGTGGTGGCTGCCCACTTGGGCACACAGCATCACAGCATTCACAAACAACAACAAAAACAACAGCAACACCCATCGTCACCAATCTGGACATAGTCATTCGGCACTAGATTTGCAGGCCCCCACTACTGGGGGACAGGGACGGGGAGGGGCAGTGGGTGAATGATGAGGTATCTGTGCAGGCCCGGGGGCCACTGGCCTCAGGATGCAGGGAGAGGTGGGCAGGCTGAGGGAGGGGCTGCTCTGACCGCCCTTTGGGTCTGGCCTGCCACCACTGTCACAATGGGAACAGCAAAGCTGGCTCTCCCAGAGGTCTGGTGGAGGTGGCTGTGCTGGGGTGGGTACAGGGCTCAGCCTCTGAGGGTGGTGACCTGGTTTGTAGCTGTCCCTTTACCCACATCAGGAAGGAACAGAAAGGGAGTTCTTAGCTATCTAAGGATTCTTCATTTCAAGAGAAAATCTACTCAGGACCTTTGCTGACCACCTCCATACCTCCTGTTCCTGTACTCCAGGGAATCCTCAACTCTGTCCCCGTCTGGCCCCCTTGTCTGCCCAGGCCCCTGCCCCAGCCCATCAGTGGGAACTTCACACCCAGGGACACTGGCTTCCTCCCTCTACACTGAAAGGCCACTGGTGAGTGTGTGTCCAGGTGGGGAGCTGAGCATGTCTGACACAAGGCCACTTGTAATAAACATCCACATACAACAAGAGGCCAAAGCAGGCTGCCCAGGCAGAGGCAGGGAAAGCCACGCCCTAAGGTAGAGCCCCTGACTCCTCACTCCACACTCAGCCTTGTCCTTTTCCCAACCAAGGACCTTTTCTCAGAGAAAGGTGGTGTGGCTCAGCAGCCCCCAGGGAGAGCCTGCTCAAAAGTGCCCCTGGAAAAGTGGGGTGTTGAAGGAATGGGAGGATGGGCAGAGGGGTTGGGCAGAAGCAGCCCTCGCTCCGCTCTCTTTCTGGATAGGTCCCAGGGCATGGCTGGGCCCCTGGGTTTTTACCTTCCTGATGCCTCAACGATGTGGCTTCTAGGCACCTGGGAACAAGACCAGATGCTGGTCCATGTCTCCTGAGCTGTAGGAGGCCCCCCGTCCCTTGGAGGAGTGCCCAGCACTCAGCAAAGGTCAGAGGATCAGGGTCCAAACGCAGGACAGTGCCCCTCTCTGCTGCCTTCTGGAAGTCAAGAGCCAAGCTCTCCTCCTATCCAGACTCAGGCTGCAGGGGACGGGGAAGGGGACAGGACAGCCGAGTCCTTCCTCCACTGCAGCCTGCCCTGCTGGGGTCCAGAGCCCAGTGGCAGGGGTTGGGTTGGGGGCACAGGAAGCTTGGCAGTGGCTGGGTTTGGTTTATTGTTGGTAGAGAATCATTTTAAGTCGTTTCTACGGTAACAAATCACAGTGACTGCAACTGGGTCAGAGAGCCCCAGGCTGGGGCGCCTGCCTGTCCAGTGGGACTCCAGGCCAGCCACTTCCTATGATCTGTCACCTGTTCTCAGAGTAGGGCCCCTCACCACCCCAGTCCACAGCTTTCTGGGCCAAGTGGCTTCAGTTCTGCTTCCCCCATTTCCCCTCCAAAAGCCTGGGAAGAGAATGCTGAAGATCCAAAGGAGAGACAGGGCCTGGGCCACCTCACCAGACAGCAATAGCAGCAGCAGCACAGGAAGGCAGGGCAGGGCAGGGAGAAGTCAGGGAGCATGACATCCACATCAAACTGGTTTCCGAGGACAGGGAGGGGAAGCAGGAGGGCGAGGGAGCTGGCACCGGGCTGGGCAGGCAACACATTCCACCAGAATGTCTCAAGTTTTCTCTCTCAGAGTCATTTTACTAAGTCCTAGTGCAGCGGGGTAGCCCCCTGCCCTGTGCCCAATGCCCTGGTGGCCCTTCCCTCCTTTGGCTCAGAGTCTTTGCACCCCCTTCCCCTAGGAGGCCTGGGGGTGGATGTGGCGGGGAGGGCCTGGGCCTGGCTGGAATGTGTGGAGCTGGTGGGTGGGAGAGTAGGGGACAGGTCCCCCTCCCTGTCCCCACTGGGGGCCTCTGAGTGGCCTCATCCTCAAGCCAGCTTGAGCGTGCTGACTGGGAAGGAGGGCATGGTAACCATGGTCACGGGGTTGAGCACGGTCTGGCCTACCAGCTGGGGGTGGTGCACCACCTGTGCCCCCACGGCCGGCTTTGTCATGACAGTAGCCGGGGACCCCAGGCCAGCTGTGCCATTCACTTGCTGGTGCGAGAGGGTGTGGGCGATGTGGCTCACGGCCACAGGCTGGCTCACTGCCACGGGCTGTGGGTACAAGGGCAGCTGGGAGCCCAGGTGGGCCACATGGTTGAGGGTGGCAGGGTGCACTGTGATGTGGCCAATGGGGGGTGTGGCAGGTGCCAGCTGCACAGCAGGGCTGGGGGCTGAGGGGGCGATGTGGGCGACGTGCTTGCCACCCGGCCCCTGTAGAACGTGGTTCACAGTCTGGATGACTGAAGCGTGGGTGGTGGCTGTATGAGCGATGACCGTGGAGCCGCCCCCAGCCGTTGCCACAAGATGGGCTGGAGCTGGTACCAGTGTCTGGGCAGGGGCCGCTGGTTGGGGAGGAGGGGCTGGCAGAGGGGTCTTCTGCTGTGTCTGTGGCTGCTGCACGGGGAGGTGGGCAGGAGACAGGGCCACAGAGTGGGGGTGAGGGTGTGGGTGTGGAGGCAGAGGCGCAGGGGTGGTGCTGGGGGGTGGCATGGTGGGCTTCAGCAGCTCCGGCTGGGGATGATGGCTCAGCTTAGGTGGGCCCAGGCCTGCCCGGTCCTCCTCCATATCCTCGTCTATGTTGTCCTCACCCTCTGTGGGGGAACACGGGGCAGGAGCAGGTCAGAAGGGCTGGGGAAACAAGTGGCTGGAGGTGTAGATGCTGGTGGGAGCGTGGGGATGTGACAGGGCTGGGGCAGGGGCCATCTTTTCTAGTAGGCAAGAGCCTGGCCAGGGAGGCTGGAATTTGAGGTGTGACACCTGAGGGCTGTGGGGCCAGCGCAGGGGCCGGGGCTCACCAGAGGCGGTGGAGGTGGAGGCCTGGTCATCCTCGGGCTGACCCGTCTGCCGCAGCACGCGGTCGATCTCCAGCACGTCCATCCACTGGCTCAGCTCGTGCTTGAGCTCAGCCAGCCGCTGCTGAGTGGCAATCTTCTCCCGCGCCAACCGCTCCATCTCATGCTCATATTCCTTCTCCTTCCTCTTCAGGGACTGGGGCACACAGTAAGGGACAGCAGGACACCCTGAGCAGCAACCTTGGGGCCTGCAGTCCCCTAAAACCTCTCCCTATCAGCTGGCCCACAGAGACAAGTTTGTGGCAACCAGGGGGCCCAGCTTGACGGAGCTGCTGGAGACCATGCCTATCTTGGTCCATGCCCCTGCCAGTGAGGCCCAGCGTCCCAAGGAGTGTGGGCTCTTGAGACAGGCCCCACATGAAGCAAGCACAGCCAAGCAGGCGGAGCCTTCCCCATCCTCCACACCAACTTGTCCTCAGGGGCTTCTCCCCCTCTCACCCATCCCTCCTTCAGCAGCCTGTCCACTTTCCACACTTCTGCTGAGATTGTCCTCCACAGAACCAAGGACCCTGCACTTCTACCTCCATGTTCACTTGTCTCCCTGGTAACTTCAATACCCTTAGAAAATGACCCACGAGGTGGTGACACAACCCCGCCCCGTCACATCACCAGGACTTGCCTCCCTCCTGGCTGCTGTCCGCACCTGCTCAGGACCTCCTAGGCTACTCTCCACCTGCCTGTGCTGCCTGTCGACAAGGCTCCACTTACATGCTGCTCCCCGCCACCCTGCCACTGCCCTCCAGACTCCCTGGGTGGAACAACCCCCAGGCCTAGGAATGAGCCCCCCTCCTCTACACCTGTATTTGGGCTAAACTGATCAATGAGAAATGGCTCTTGTGTCCCATGACCCAGCTCCCTTCCACACCCAAAGTCTTTCCGGTGCTTCCGACCTGACGCTTCATCAACTCCACTCTTTTAAGTCTCACACACCTCCCTGCTGGCAGCTTTTTGCCCAGGCACGTCATGACCGCTTGTCCACCAGCCAACCCTGACACGTGTGTCCCTGCTGCCTCCTGAGTCCCTTTCTTACCTGCTCTTGAGTGCCTAGCTTCCCAGGCTTACAGGTGCAGGGCCTTGGGCTCTTCACACACACCCCTCACCAGCCAGCCTTGGTTTTCCTCTCTGAACCCCATGTGCCCTCATCACACACAGATCCTCCTCCCCTCACCCCTAGATCTTATCTGCCAGTAACCCAAGACCACATCTGAGCCCTCCTACCCCACTGTCCTTCCCTATCCCACATCCTCCCGCCTCCCAGCCCTTCCTGGCACCTGCACCATTTTTTCCAGGCTGGTTCAGATTTGGGGTGGATTTTAGTTTAATTCTCCTCCCTACTGTCCCCTAATGTTTTTACTGATTTTTTCTTTTTTTTTTGAGATGGGGTCTCGCTGTCACTAGGCTGGAGTGCAGTGGCGCAATCTCGGCTCACTGCAACCTCTGCCTCCCAGGTTCAAGCGATTCTCCCGCCTCAGCCTCCCAGTAGCTGGGATTACAAGCACCCATCACCATGCCCAACTAATTTTTGTATTTTTAGTAGAGACAGTGTTGGTCAGGCTTGGTCTCAAACTCCTGACCTCAGGTGATCTGCCTGCCTCGGTGTCCCAAAGTGCTGGGATGACAGGCGTGAGGCACGTCGCCTGGCCTACTGGTGTTTTATCTTTAATTCTCCTTCAGCCCCCACCCCTGGTTCTCGTCTTTCTTGGTCAACACCTTTTCTTGCTTCTGTCCCTTTCTCTCCCCATCTCTCTCACTTCCCTCCAACATGGGGCGGGGCAGTGGTGTGGAGGAGCCTCAGGCCTGAGATTCCATCTGCTCTCCTTCCTGGAGCCCAAAGTCAGGCAAGAGAAGGGGGTGGCATCTCCAGCCTCCCAGCACTGAGGAAGAATGGGGCTCTTCTCACTCCATCCCTCCCTTTCTCCTCTGCCCCCAGAACTGGGCCATTTCTGGGTGGGGCAGTGGGTCCTAGATCAGCTCACACTGAAAATGTAAGAACTGCAAATAAAATTTCTATGAAGTTTTGTGTCTCAAAAAAAAAAGATGGAGTGAGATAAGAAGAGCCCCATCTGACTGTACAGGAAATGGGAAGCTGTCAGGGTAAGACTTCATCAGGACTGGCTCACACAAAGTATCTCATGTATAGATGTTTTGTCTTTCCACCTCAACACACTGTCCCTGTCCGAGCTGTGAATGAAGGTGAGGTGGGTGCATAGTCAGTTTACATCCCAGAGTCCGTGGTGGCCAGGAAGAGTTATGCAGTGTGCTGGCTCGGCCTCAGGTGAAGGATCTGGAAGGATTCCTTCTCACTTCTGTCTTATCTCTCCCTGAATCACAGGGAGAACCACAGGAGACCCATTTTCTCCTGCTTTCATTCCCTAGGACAGGATCCCCAGCCCCCAGGTACTGGTCTGTGGCTAGTCAGGATCAGGCCCGCACAGGAGGTGAGCGGGGGGTAGAGCAGGACCACCTGAGCACAGCCTCCTGTCAGATCAGCGGGATATTTGATTCTCACACAAGCACAAACCGGAATCTGAACTGTGCATACCAAGATTCTAGGTTTTGTGTGCTCCTTAGGAGAATTTGACTAATGCCTGATGATGTGAGGTGAAACAGTTTCATCCCAAAACTTCCTCCACTTCCCCCCATGGAAAAATGATTTTCCTCCCTGCTGCCAAAAAGGTTGGGGATCACTGCACTAGGAAAGGAGTCGTTTTGCTGTTTTGTAGCAGTTTTTCCCGACTGAGCCTGGCTAAGTCTCCAACCCCACCCACCAGTGAGGCCAGCTTCCCACACCCCCTCCTGCATGCATTTCTGCCCTAACCAGGAAGAGATGTCTCTACTCACCAGTGCCTGCAACACATAACCCAGACAGACCATGTCTGTCCTGGCCTAAAATCTGGCAGCCTGACACTTCCAATGCCAGACCCAGGCCACACAGCTTGCTCTGTCATTCTGGCTTTCACTGTTTCTCCCATTTTCTGCTAAAAAGACAGTAGGAAACTCCCTTGCCCCTACACACACACCTGTGTGGCTTTTCTTTTTTTGGAGACAGAGTTCCCCTCTGTTGCCCAGGCTGGAGAGCAGTGGCACAATCCCCGCCCACTGCCACCTCCACCTCCCAGGTTCAAGTGATTCTCCAGCCTCAGCCTCCTGAGTAGCTGGGATTACAGGGACGCAACACCATCCCCAACTATTTTTGTATTTTTAGTAGAGGCAGGGTTTTGCCATGTTGGCCAGGCTAGTGTTGAACGAACTCCTGACCTCAGGTTATCCACCTGCCTCAGCCTCCCAAAGCGTTGGGATTACAGGCGTGAGTCACCACACCCAGACTGTTCGGCTTTTCACTGGCTCTACTCGAGTGGCAAGGGCTGGATGTGACACCCGATAAGGCCATGTCAACGAAGGCCACAGGTGAGTCAGGCCTCACTTGAACCCTGCTGCTAGGGACTGGAAGCAGCAGTCCTGAATTCTACTCAGCTGTGGGTAGGATACATATCTGGACCAGGGAGTGACGTGGGTCAAAAGCTTCTGCTCCTCACCTAGGCCCTGCAGTTTCCCCAGGGTCTAACGTTAATCCACACTGCTTCCTTCTAAACCCATTTCCTTTCTGTGACTACCTGGATGCCCGGTTTGGTCCCTATCTATTCTTCTATCTGTCCCCTTTACTGTGGCTGTCTTCAAATCTCTGACTGCCTCCAAGCCGCTTAATGTGGATTCTGGCTGGAGACCACTGCCCTCCTCCCGCAGCTTTCTGCTCTCAGCATGTAACCAAATCCCGGTCTCCGCAGCCCCGCCGGTCTCTCCAGGACCAACTCTCGACTCCAGTGCGCGCTGCTGCCCGTCTCCGCATGGCAACCTTCCTGACCATGTTTTTGTTTGTTCTTAGAGACGGAGGTCTCACTCCTCGGCCCAGGCCGTCCTCACACTCCCTGGGCTCAAATGCCCTTACTGCCCTGGCCTCCCGAGCTGGGACTCAGGTGCGAGCCACAGGGCCAGACTTTTATTTCTGAAAACGCATCCTGTTCCCTCCTGCTGGAGAAACTGGGGTGGCCCCTGGGCTCCCGGCCTGCACGTGGCCTCGTCTCACCCAGACCTATCCTGCAGGTCTCGGCTCAAAGGTCCTTTCCTCAGGAATGACGTTCCTCCCTCCCCAGAACAGATCCCGCCGCCCGGTCCCTATTAGGCCCAGACGGCAGTTTTCCAGAGTGACTCGTTCACCATCTGCCGCAAGACAGAGCCTGGGAGGGCGGAGACCCCGGCTTTTTTACTTGCTCGCCACCATTTCCCCATAAGCAGAGACTTCTCTAAAAGCTCCTCGATGAATACATGAATAAATGGTCTGTGGACAGGCCCCTGAGTTTTCCACTTCTGTGACTAGCACAAGAAAGTGTCCCTTCTGGACACCCTGGGCCCACCCCGGCTCCTACTTCACGGGGCCTGGAACCTCAAGAACTTCCTTCTGCGGCTGCCACTGAGTCTCCTTCCGATTCATGTTCAAACCCACACGTTACGCAGGAACCCTCTTCTAGAGGTATCTGCCAAGAGGAACTCACCCTGCCATCCTTCCTATTTCTCAAAAAATAAATGAATGTCGGGAGTGCTGCGAAGCATCTGCACCGACACCCTCAGCCCCGAGACTAAACTACAACCTAGCCCTCGTTCTGCAAATCCCTCCAAGAAATAAGCCACCGGCCAGTCGCGGCTTCCGGGCCCCTCTCCCGCTAGGTTCCGCGACGCCCCGCCCCGAAGCACGCGCGCACCCACGCGGCCGCGGCTTCCCTACGTCACCCCGCCCCCGCGCCTCGGAAGCACCGCCCCCCACCCGCGAGCCCCGCCTCGCTCCTCCCGGCTATCCAGAAACGGCCGGGAAGGCGGGCGGAAGGGCGCGTTCGCGGGAGACCGCCTCCGCCCCTCCCTCAGCAAGTCGGGCTCCGGTTACCTCAGGGCTGTGACCCTGCGTTAGAGGCCGGGGGAGGGGCGGCGCCCCGCGGCTGGCTCCTCAGGCGCTGGACCCTCCTCAGCACCCCTCCACTGGGCCCATGACGCCGCGTCTACCCCGGAGATTCCTCAGCGGGTGCCCCGTCCCCGCCCCACGCAGGCTGGGAGCCCCGCGTCGCTCCGTCCCCAACTGCTCCGAGGCCGCCCGCCCATCCCCTACAGCCTCCGGCCCAGCGCACGGAAGCCCCACCGGTTTCCAGGGAAACCAAAGCTCAGGCAGCCATGGCAACTGCCTGACGTGGCGGCGCCCCCGGCCCCAGCGCTGCAGAGGGAGCAACGCCCAAAGGGAGGACCCCGAAAAAGGGACCCTCCTCCTGTTAGCGCAGGAGGAAGGAAAGCGTGACGTGTTTCAGCTCGGCAGCCCCGGGGCTGTTTGCCGCCCAGTCAGACCGCAGTTTTCCTCGCCCCAGGCGTAACCCCACACTCGGGCCGTGGCGCCTCCACGCGCGCCCCGAAAGGGCCTTCCTCCTTCGGGGTAAACGGGGCTCGCCCCACGCCGTAGCGTGGACGGGGACCACACCCAACCCTTCCCGTAAATAGCGACAGACAGGCGGAATCCGGGCTCCCCTCGCGCTTCCCACCCGCGGCTGCACCAACACGCGGGAGGCGGGAGCAGACACCGGGACTCGCCCCAGCCATCAAGGCGCGCGCCTCCAGGCCCCGGGGACGCGCCGGCGACGGCGGGGGAGGGGAGCCGCGCCTTCCTCTGCGCACGCGCGCCCTTCTGGGCAGGGAGCCCCGCTGACGTCAGCCGGGCCATGTGCTCGGCGCCCGCGTGGAGGCGGGAGGGAGGCGGGGGGAGCCGCTGGGGCGGAAGGTGGGGCGGGGCGCGGCCGGGGAGGGGCGGCGGAGGGCGGGGAAGCTGGCGCCGCGTCGGCCTCCGGGCCCCTTACCTGGATGTACCGCAGCGCCGTCCGCAGAACGCTCAAATTCGACGTCTTCTTGTCATCCACGTTGGGGATGTTACGCTTCAAGGTCTCAAAGCACTCCTTGAGATGGGCCCTCCTGGGGAGAGGGGCGAGCAAAGCCGGTCGGCGGGGACGCGGGCGAGACAGGGCTGGGGAGACGGGGCCGCGGGCGGGCGAGGCCCGGGCCACACACGCACGCGCAAACACACCTGTTCTTCTCCAATTTGTTGTGGACTTCTCTGGTTCCGATCCTGAAACCCAAACAGATAGGAGGCTCAGGAAGGAGGTCTGGACTAGACGGGCTTCCTCACCCACACTGCCACCCCCCAGATTCTCACGGGCTGTCCCCAACATTGTCTTAGAATGGGAGATGTTCGCCATGTGCCATGTTGTGCCCACCTCCAGGAGGGCACATCTGTGCTCATAATCACAACCCCTGTCACCCTCCGTCCCATCAGAAGGGAGACATGAGGGCTCCTGGGACTCAGAAGCAGCCAGTGTACCCCAGCCCTAACCCAAGAGGCTCATACTCTGTCCAGAGGCCTGTGAATGCCTAAGCCTTAGCCCTGGAGGGCATTAGAGAAAACAGAAGCCTGGGAAAGGGGCAATGGGGCATTCCTTCCCGGGACAGAGATGGGCACAGTGAGAACATGTTCAAAAACAGGGGACACCTCTAGGCTGGGGAGGCAGGACACACCTCTGAAGCCCTAGCCAGAGGGCCATCTTCTCTTGCACACACAGCCCAGTGGGTGGCCAGCTCTCCTCTCCATCCCACCAGCTGGACTCTGCTACACCCCACTCACCCCCCGGGCCTCTTCTTCTGTTCGCTGGATTTGACTTCTTCAGCTGGTGCCAATTTCAGGGTCCCAAGTGTGGGTGGGGGTGGCTGTGGGGGTGCCAGCTGGGGCTGGACTCCAGGGTGTGGTGCTATGGTCAGGATAGGCGTGGGGAGGGGCTGCAAAGGCTTGGGGCTGCCAGTGGGTGGAATGGTGGTCTTCGAGTCCGGCAGTAGGGGAGCAGGAGTGGGCACCTGTGGCCTGCTGGGCAGGGGGGCAGGCTCCTTAATGCTGAGTCCAGGGGTGCTGACCAAGGCTGGCTGACGAGGCACCAGGGGCAGAGGCTGGGCTGTGGGGGGTAGGGGTGGGGGTGGGGGCAGCGGCTGAGGGGAGTTGGTCACCACAGGTATAGGAATGACAGTCACTGGGGCAGGGGTGGCAAGTGCCGGCGGGGGTGCCGGTGGGGGTGCTGGCGGGGACAGAGGCAGGGGTGGTGCCTCAATTCGGGGTTCCTCCACAGGAAGGGCATGTGCCAGCCGGGCCAGGCTGTTGGCCTTCTTCTGTTCCTGCTCCCGCTCTCGCTCCAATCGACGCCGCTCCTGCTCCTCTATGCACAGAGAACACAATGTGGGGGTGGTCTTAGCGGGGCCACAGCCTGCCCTGTTCTCCAGCCCTAACTTGGCCTCTGACCCCAGCCCAGCCAGGACTCAGTGACACCCCTGCTCTGCCACAGATGCCACAAATAGCTGACCAGTTCAGCCAAGCACGGGGAAAGTGCCAGGAGCACAGCAGCAAACAAACCAAGCAGACCTGGTCCCTGCCGCCAGGGAGCAGGAAGACAGGAATTGGGGCGGACAGTCCAGGCTGCGGCAGGACAGACGGAAGGGTGGAAGCACAGCTGTCAGAGGGTGCTGGGCCTGCCAGTCTGCACAGTGGGAGCAGCGAGGGTCAGGAGCTACATGGCCGAGGTGGGTGAGACGGGCAGTGGCCTAGCCACCCAAGACTTCACACCGGAGAAGGGGCTGTGCTGAGAGCCCAGCTCCCGTGGAAGGCCTTAAACAATGTTTATCAGGAGTCTTCTAGAGGCAAGTAGTGCATGCATGGCACAGATGAAGTAAATGAAGCTGATTTGCTGCGGGTCCCAGCAAGCCTCCTGACACCTGAGGGCCACTTGCCATGCTCACTAGGAAGTGCCTTGCACTCACAGTCCCTGGATCCTCACAAGAGCCCCATGTCACATCACAGGCAGGAGAGGGACGTCACCCTCATTTCACAGAAGCAGAAATAGCCCAGGACTCCTGAGTCCCAGGCTAGATCCTAATGGCTCTGTTTTCCTCAGGAGTCATTCAACAAATACACTTTGTCCCTCTCTGACCCTTGTGGTAAACTCATTTCTCCCAAATTGCCCCCATCCCACCACCAGCAGCACCAGCATGCCCTGTCCTCCAGGCCTAACATATCCTCTGACATCCTCAGTGACACCCCACTCAGCCTGAGACACCACAAATACCCAACCAGTCCAGCTGGGCAGTGGGGAAAGTGTACCTGCCTGGTTCTGGGTGAGAGAGGGCAGGGTGAGAAGGAGGTACAGCAGCAAGTTTTTCTCCCAAACGAGAAGGGGCAGAGGCAGGTAGAAAGGAATGCTGGGGTCCGGTGCCGTGGCTAACGCCTGTAATCCCAACACTTTGGGAGGCTGAGACAGGTGGATCAGGAGTTCAGGAGTTCAAGACCACCCTGGCGAACATAGTGACACCCCTTCTCTACTAAAAATACAAAAATTAGCTGGGCACGGTGGTGTGCACCTGTAATCCCAGCTACTTGGGAGGCTGAGGAAGGAGAATAACTTGAACCCAGGAGGCAGAGATTGCAGTGAGCCAAGATCATGCCATTGCACTCCAGCCCGGGCAACAAGAGCAAGACTCTATCTCAAAAAAAAGAGAAAAGAATGCTGGGCTCTTCAGTAGAGGTGCAGCAGGGCAATGGACCCAACTATCCATTACTCCTCCCACCTTACTGCTCAGTATCTCTGCTGAAAGTCCAGCAGGAAGGTGAGGTCCACTCAGGAGCTGGCTTCCAAACAGGGAAGGGGAGGCCCCTCCATCTCCAGCCTGCCCCATCCTCCCATAGGCCCCATCATTCTGGTTCCCTGGCTACCAGGCCGGCCCAGACCCTTGGAGTCTGCAACCCCCAGGCTAGGGAGCCTTGGGACAAGCAGCCCACTCCTCTGGCCCCAGATGCCCCACTCTGCTGACAGCCTGGGGTGGTGGCCACACCCAAACACCAGGGCAAGGGGTGGCTGCAGTGGGGGAAGGAAGGGGAATGGGAGTCTGCTAAGGCCCCCTGGGGAGGAGGGCACCCACCTCCCACACACTTACTGGCTCAGAAGCCCCAGAAAACCCAAGGCCTTAGGCCCCGTTGACCAATCAACAACTGGAGTGTGAGCCAGGCTTGTTCCCAGCCCCACCCTCCTGCAGAGGGAAGACTCCGAGGAGGAAGTGGAGGGGGAAGTGTCCCAGGAGGGGAAGGCTCACTGGTTTCCCAGGACTGGGCCAGCCAGCGGGCCTCCGCCAGCTTTCCCCAGCCCTTCAGGAAGGGGCGATACCAGGCTGGTGCAGGCCTGCTCCAATGCAGGGAGGCCCTGCTCTCCAGGCTTAGGTTACAGTCCAGGAGAAAACCAGCCCTGCGCTGCCACTTCCCACAGGTGGTTTCCCACAGGCGTGCTGGCCAAGCAGCCTGCCGAGTTCCAGTGACAGGGCCCTTCTCAGGAGCAGCCTCAGTTGTCCCCCGTTTCCCCCAACCCCAAGACAAGGCTCTGGATTCCAGGGCCCAACAGCCCACACCTCCATGCCTTTGGCTGAGACAGACCTAAATTCTCATTGGCCTTGGGACAAGTGCTCCATTCTCCCTAGGCAGAGGGACAGTCAGGGCATGGCATTCCCTGAGTCACAAGGACAGGTGGGACCCTAAGTGCAGGCCAACCCCATTCCCCATATTTTAAATCAACCCCAGAGCTCACCTGGGAGATAGCAACCTCTTTCTCACCTGCCTTCTCTCACCCAGAGCCAAGCAGGCACACCTCACAGGTGCCAGGAAGGACCCAGTGACACCCGGAGCAGCATGAAAAAGCTCCATGGGTGGTGAGGAAGAGGAGCTGCCCGGCCAGATCCAGCCCACCAGAGCTTCCTGCCCCTTCACCCCCAGCAGCGACCCTCCCTTTGCACTGGAGAACCACCAAACTGGTGGTGTCAGGTCCTCTCTGAGGAGCGGCCCGTGCTTCGGCTTTTTAAAAGAACCTTCTGCGCATCCCCCAGACCGGGTGCACTCCCTTTCACATGCTTCCCTGGGCTCCACCCAGAGGCTGCCCCCAAGAATGTTGCATGACCCCTCTGCAGTGACCCAGGGGCCATGGCTTCAGCCCACAGTCAAGAGCAAGGGCAGTGTTCTCCCTTCAACCTTCCCAAGCGACTGTGGCCCAGGTGCTCCAAAGGCACAGGGCTAGGGTGCAGGAGTCCACACGGGTGGCCCCCAGCAGGCACCGGAATTCTCCTATCTCCATGCTACACAGGGGACCTGGTGCATAAGGCAGGCCCAGGGTAACCCTTGGAGACTTGGTCAAGAGCCTCTGGACACCCCAGCCAGCTCCCTCCAATCAAGGCAGAAGAGAGTTGCATTGAGCCACCTCCATGAATTCTGGAAATGACCAGGCCAGGCCCTCCGGCTGAGCACCAGGATAGCTCTGCCCTTTCCTCTCTTCTCTCACAGGTACACATGCTGGCAGGTTCATCAGGTTCATCACCTGGCTGGTCTAGGTCAGAAAGCTATGCTTGAGGTCCCTCTCCAGAGCTGGCCCTAGGTCCCAGGAAAGCGCTCTGGTTGGCAGGTTCACCTGCCATTCCCTTCCCTCCCTTCCCTCCCTTTCCTCCCACCCCAGCTCAGAGGACAGAACCTCCAGAGGGAGAAGAAAATGAATTCTGGAGGTGAAACTGTTGGGAAGGGTTCTGGCCACCTGTACATGTGTTTCTGAGTAGATCTAGCTTTCTAGCACCCACTCATCTCCTGAGACCCCTGACCCACTACCAAGAAGCCACGACTGGGCAGCTGAACTCAGCCTGACCTGATGCCCATCACCTGGGGGAGGTGCAGGGCTCTGTCACGTCTTAGGAGAGAAGCTTTCCAGGTTCTTCTTCTGTGTCTCCTCCCACCTTACTGTTCAGCACTGGGCTTGCTTGGGAAAGGGTGGGAAGGGAAGGGCAAAGAGAGTTTCTCTGGAGGCCACAGCAGGGTCAATCCTGTTGGCCCCAGAACAGTGCCTGGCACACAGTGGGTACTCTTTAACTGCAGCGTGTTGATGGCAGCAGCAGGTGACAGTCTCTCCAAACCCTGTGCACGGTCTTCCCCTGACCCCTGTGCCCATGCTAGGACCTTCCTGGTCTCCGCCACGCTCCAATGTCAAGACTCTGCTCTGGACCACCAAGGCAACAGGCGGGGAATGCAGGCGACATCCCTGCCCATCAGTTCTGCAAAACCCAGGCATCTGGGTCTCACGTATCTCGAGTGACTCTTGACCTTGGGAGGCTGGTCGCCCCGACTAGGCTGGCGGCCCCGCAGCTCCCCCACCCCCACCCCCCGGCTGCCGCTCCGCCCCCCCCCCCCCCCCGGCCACCCCCCGCCCTCCGCGGCGGCGGCACACAGCGGCGCGCGCGCACACAACACACTACTACCTCCTGCATGACTCATCATTGAAGCAACAATAGGCAGAGAGAAAAGAAAAAAGGACGAAGCACTCTCTCCACCACAGCCGACCCTGCCGGGGGCTTCTGAGGGCAGAGGGCACAGGAGTCCCCGGGTCCTGCACACACACCGTTTCGGGGCCAAGGCCCCGGCAGAAGCCTGGAAAAGGGAGGTGTTTTCCCACAGCCCGTCTTTCTGCAGCACCCTGAAGCCAGGGACCACCAACGGGGCGCGTGAAGACAGGAGGCATTAGTCTCTTCCCTTTGGAGGGAGCGCCGAAATTTGCCCCTTCTCAACCTGACTCATTCCAGCGTGGCCCCGGGTGATGCAAGGGGGGCCTAGTTGCAACGTTATGGGGGTCAGTGAAAAATGAGAGCTCTAAATGTCTCGTCGCCCTGAGATTCTGAGGGTTTCCCTTCCCTCGGGATGAAGCACAGGTTAGGAGAGAGAGCCGACAGGTGAGCTCGACTCCTCCCTCGCAGGGCAAAGCCTCTCCCTGGGAGGTGCCCAGAGGCCCGGGCCCGGGCCCAACCCGGCGCAAGGCCTATCGCAGCCCCGCCCAGGCCCCGCCCCCGGCCAGGCGCAAGGCACTGAGGAGGGGCTGGGCCTCTCAGTCCCCAGCAGGAGTGTCCCCGGTGCACGTGGTCGGGGGCGGAGCCCGTCCACGTCACCACCCGGTGTAACCAACAGGCTAGGAACGCAGGCACACGCAACATTCCAGGCGAGAGCGGGTTTGGAACGCGCAGACACGCCACATTCCACACTGGCTAAAGCGGGGTGCAGCGAGGGGGGCCGGGAGCTGCACCCCCCAACCACCCACGGGCCATTTCGCAAACGCCCAATTAGCCCGGCTTTCACGCAAACCCCGGACGCGCGGCCCAGCCCAGCTCTGGGAGGCGGGGTCAGGCGGGGCTGGCCAGGATCATAAGACACGCGATGTCATTTCATTCTGCAAAGGCCGCCTCCGCCCCAAGCGGCGCGTAGATCTGCGGGGAGCGCCCCCCGCACCCTCCCCATGGGGCCAGGGAAGCTGAAGAGCTACTCGGCGTAGAGTAGTCCCCACCCCCACTCCGTTACACACACGCCCACTCGTGTGCTATACACACGCCCGTGTACACGTCCGTTCATCTGCTCTTCCCGAGGCTCACATCACACATCCCCCGTGCACACACGCACGCACACGCGAGCCTGCCACCCCCACGCAACACCATTCCTCACCCCACCCCCCGGCTCACACATCCTCAGCGCCTCCGAGGGCTCCGCTGGCCCACGCAAAATCAGACCCGGCGGAAGGGGCACGGGGGTGCCAGGCAGCCGGGGTGGCGCCCGCAGGAGCCGGGTCCCTCGCTGCATGTTAATGAATTCATTAATTAATTTTAGTGCCCACATCACCCTTCCCCAGGCGGCGGCTCTCGCGGGGAGCCGAGCGCTGCCAGGCTCCGCAGGCCGCCCGGGAGGGGTCCCTGTCCGCGGTTCCGCCTGGGTTCGGGGACCGGGGTCACTCGCTTCCCCTTCCCCGGTGCCCCAGGGGCCCAGCCCGGCCGCTCACCACGTGCTCTCTGTTGTTGCTGCGCTTGCCATTCCAGGAAGCGGGCCGCCTCCAGTAGCGTCTCTATGCTCATCGCGCCGAGAGCCGCCGGGGGCGCGCCGGGGCCGAGGCTGCGGCCGGCAAGCCGGGCACAGGTCAGGCTGGCGGGCAGGCAGGAGGGAGAGATCACCTCCGGGGGGCGACAGGGCTGGGCGGCGCAGCGCACTCCGCAGGGAAGAACGGGGGAGCACGGGGAGAAAAATCAATGTCTCTCAAAAGATTTGCAAAATATAAATTTGCAAATTTTAAAAAATGGAATGCAAAAAAAAAAAAGGCGGCACTGCCTTCCTTCTTCCCCTCCCTCTCTACCTCCCGTCCAATGCCTCCCGCCCCGCGGCCCCCGGGAGTCCCGCCGACAAGAAAGGGCTTTGCAACAAGATGGCGAGGAGGCACCGACACACACAACAAGGGAAGGAGCCGCGCTGCCCCCGGCCGCCGCCCCCGCTACTACACCGGGGCCGCAGCCAAAGCCCGGACCGGAGCCCCCGCCCGCAGGGCCGCGGCGCCTCGCAAAGGGAGGGGTGGGTCCTGCCCGGCTGGCTCCGCCCACCGGAGCCGGCGCGCGCACACGTGGCCCGGGCGAGGAGGGAGAGGTCCGAGGGGGGTGTGCGCGCCGCCGTTTCGCTTTCCCGTTGGCCCCGCCCCGGCTGCGAGCCACAAGTTAGGCTGGGGAGGCGCGTTTGGGTCATTCACGACGAAATCTGTCCTGCTAGAGGGAGGGAAGGGTGGACAATTCAAGACTTAACAGAGCTCCAATCAGGATATTCCGGGTCAGGGAAGTCTTGGGAATGGCAGAGACGGACCTGACCCTGGATCTCCACGCTCCACCCACTCGCGACCTAAATCCCGCAATCGCCGGGGTGTCGCAATTCCCCCAGGATCCGCCCCTGGGCGGAGCTGCCGGCAGCTGGATACTGTCAGAGAACCAGCGGAGGGAGCGGAGCAATGGTCCGGATCCGCGTTTTGTCTTCGTTCCTCCCCCCGCAGTGCGTTAGCATCCTATTAGGCGACGTCACCGGGCCGCGGGCCAATGGGCGGGCAGGACAACACGGCATGGAGCAGCTCCACATGGACACCCCGCGCCGCCAGCCTTCGGTTTAAAGGGCCAGTGTCTGCTGGTCACATTCGCGGGTGAGGATGGGGCCACTGAGCGAACCCAGGGTGGGACGCCGTAAGGGGAATCCCGCAGTCGTGTCCCGGCCTTCCCATTCCTTTTCGCCACCCTCCATTTTAAAGATAAAACCAAGCCTTTATCTTTCCTTCCCCCTAAACTCCAGGCTCTGTCCACGCGTATTCGATGTGGGTGGAGACACGGACTGTGCTACCCCAGGGGCCACCCTTTGCTCTGGGACCGGCGGGCGGGGCCCGAATCGGGAACAACAACGTGGAGGGCGGAAGCCCGGCCCTCCCCGCGCCAGGCGACCGGCGGTGGGCGGGGCGCGGGGGCAGGTTCCGCTGCGTCCGGCTGGAACCGCGCTCTCCGGGGGCGGGACCCCGTCGCCCTCCGCCGCTTCTTCCCGGCGGGAGTGTTTAGGGGCGCCCGGGTGCAATCGGAACGTCAGCTCTTTGAGGCAGGCTGGCCCTAAATCCTCTCACTTCACAGATAAGGAAACTGAGGCCGAGACGGGCAGGGACTCGTCTAAGATCGTTCCGATTGCCACCTGCTCCTCTCCCCTCCGTGGGGGAAGCACGTCCTGACCCCAGGGACGACTCTGAAGCCAGTTCTGGGAGGAGAGCCCCCAACTAGAAAAATGCCAGGGAGGAATGGCAACCCTGACCACTTAACACACTGATTGGGGCAACAAAAATCTTCACCTGAGACCCAGCCCTGCTGTTCTGCTTCCTCGGTGGAAGCCAAACGAACCCACTGGTACAGCGGCAGCAATAGACACAGGGCGGCTGAAAGCTGATTTGGAGCGTCCCGGAGCACGTCGATTGTGCTGTGCCAGTGCGGGGGGAGTACCCGCCTGTTCTGGCCCCAGGCTCCTTTCTCTGCTAACCGATCCAAGAAGAGGGGGACAGTCAGTAGCAGAGGGTTCGGGACTCCACAGCCCCGGCTTCCCCGTGACATAGAGCCAGAAAGCAAAGCTTCATGAGGCTGAGAGGCATGCCAGTCCATTCCATCACATGGCACCCTCGGAGCGTTTCTATTTTGAGGACTGGTTGGAAGAAAGCTAGAAACATAGAAAGCGGGTCTTTGATGGCATCGTAATGCATCCTAGGGGGGAAAAATCTGCGGATACTGGCAATCAAGGACTTCGTGAACTAGAGGAAGGGGGCTGTTTGCAAGCACTAGTCTACAGGGGCCTCTGATCTTCTCACATTTACTGCCCCCATATCTAGAGCTGAGCATGAGGAGGTCACGACACACACATGTCCAGGTAGGTACCACTGACTTTGCTTATGATGAAGCTGGAGCAAGGCGGATTGGAAGGGAACAGCTCAGTTCTTCTCCCTGAGATGTGTGCCCCTTTCCTGGAAGGGCTGGGTCTGTGATGGCTAAGGTGTCTGCCACTTAGCGGTGGGGCTGGGCCTGGCCCGTTCTGCACAACTAGAGAAAATGGGAAATTCAAAGGCAATGTAACAAATAGGCAGCAGTGGTTACGGGGACTCTAAACAGTATTGAGGCCATCTCTGACTTGTGATGGCTCGACTTTTCAGGTTTACAATGGTTGCAAAAGCGATAATCTAGAGGGCTCTCAATTTGGGGTGGGGTTTTGGTGGCAGGTGGAGGAGTGTCTCTACATAATAGTGACCCAAGATAATGCTGTTGGCCCAGTTCTTATTTTGTGTGGGGTTAGCACCATGGCAGGTCGTGCTCCGGCCAGCCCTCCCTACCGTTCTCAAGTGGCCATGCACTCATACAGCCCTGGAGTTTCTGCTGATGGCTGAGGTCCAATTTTGTTTATTCTTCTTTGTCACTGGCCAGCTCTAAACCAGTAAGGAGGCACCTCTCTGAAATGCAGTGCTCAGAAGACACTGTTTGCTTCAGGGGTGAGGAAGCAGATGACAGTAGAGTGAGCAGAGATTTGAATGCCAGCGTCTCCACTGCCCCAATACCCCATCTGCTCCAGAGCTTAGTGATGTTTGCTATTTAAAACAAACAGCCTTACTAGCTTCACATGATCATCTGTTTATTTGGGTCATGTGGGGACAGCAGCCAGGGGATGTTAGGCAAAAACAAGGGTTTAGAAGCGAGGCTGTGGCTGGACGCGGTGGCTAGCGCCTGTAATCTCAGCACTTTGGGAGGTCAAGACGGGTGGATCACTTGAGGTCGGGAGTTCAAGACAAGCCTGGCCAACGTGATGAAAACGCATCTCTACTAAAAAAATACATATATACAAAAAATTAGTTGGGTGTGGTGGCAGGCGCCTGTAATCCCAGCTGGGGGTTTAAGGCAGGAGAATTGCTTGAACACAGGATGCAGAGGTTGTAGTGAGCCAAGATCGCACCACTGCACTCCAGCCTGGGCAACAGAGACTCTGTCTCCAAAGGGGGGAGGAAAAAAGGAGGCTGTTTCTGGACCTATTGTTGCCTACGGGAGCCTGAAAATGGCCAAAAAAAAACCTCATCAAGCAAGTTTTCCCCACGTGGGGAATGGACAGTGGGGGTGGGAGATACCTATGAAGGGGGATGGGAGGGGAATGAATAGGAGGGCTGTTGAACATTTTAGCCCCAGCTTCTTGGGGGTGGAGCCAGGATAGAGGCTGGCAACTGTACTCACTGCAGAGAAAGAGAAACAAGTCTTTTTGGTTTCAGGAGAAAGGTTAGCCGGTTTGCGGAATTATCCAAAGGCCAGCAATCTCCAAAAGGTGTTCCTTAAGTTTCTTTTTCTTTTTTTTTTTTTGAGACAGAGTCTCACTTTGTCACCCAGGCTGGAGTGCTCTGATGTGATCTCAGCTCACTGTAACCTCTGCCTCCGGGTTCAAGCAATTCTCCTGCCTCAACCTCTGGAGTAGCTGGGATTACAGGTGCCTGCCACCACACCCGGCTAATTTTTGTATTTTTAGTAGAGACAGGGTTTTACCATGTTGGCCAGGCTGGTCTCAAACTCCTGACCTCAGGTGATCCACCAGCCTTGGCCTCCCAAAGTGCTGGGATTACAGGCTAAGCCTCCACGCCCAGCTGTTCCTGAAGTTTCTTCATGGCTTCTAGGTGCTTCACCTTTGAGCAGGAGAAAACCTGGGCTACCCAGCATTGTGATTTTTTCATGAGATTTCTGTTTTCAGTTTTCCTCCTCAAGTCTCGTGCACCCCACTGCCCAGTTCAAATTCCATTATGTCCTCCAGTTTTTTAATCTTTCATTCTTTTTCACCAGTCACAATAAGAAGCACCAATTCAAGCTGGGTGTGGTGGCTCATGCATCTAATCCCTTCACTTTGGGAGGACGAGGCGGGCAGATCACCTTAGGTGGGGAGTTCAAGACCAGCCTGACCAATATGGAGAAACCCCATCTGTACTAAAAATAAAGTTAACTGGGCGTGGTGTCATGCACCTGTAATCCCAGCTACTAGGGAGGCTGAGGCAGGAGAATTGCTTGAACCTGGGAGGTGGAGGTTGCAGTCAGCCAAGATCATGCCACTGCCCTCCAGCCTGGGCGATAAGAGTAAGCCTCCGTCTAAAAAAAAAAAAAAAAAAAAAGCAGCACCAGTTCTCCAAGTTTTTAATATGCTGAGCCAGAGACATCCCCTTGGTGAAACTGTCTTCCTTTCCAACCCCTAACTCTCACCCAACAAGCCATGAACTCCAAGAGCTATGAAAACCAGTTCCCTGACCCTATAGCCATCATGAGATGAGGGAAAGGTGTGAAGCCAAAAGCACAGATGTTCACACTAGATCCCAGAAGGTGCCCCAGCCCTTCAAGCCCTGGCGGCTCATCTTTTGCAAGCAGCTGAGGAGCTTTTCACATACCATCATTAAAACAAGGCCCAAGGGAAAGAGCCGGCTGCGGGATGAAGAGGAAGAAACAGAAGACCAGAACATTCAAGACACACCAGGGAAGACCCATTTCATAAAGATTTCTTGTGTGCCTGACATGGTATGTGGTGGGACCGCCAGTAAGGCTGAGTTGGGTGATTGCAGATCGGAACTCCACTCCACAGTGAGACCTGCAGAACGTTAGTTCTGCTGTCCCTGCCATGCGGGACACAGCAGCAGAGACAGGACTACACCAGGATCCAGAAGGCGCCGCCACGCTCATTTTAGATGTAGTCGGCCTTCTGTGTCTGTGGGTTCTGCCCCCATGGAGGCAACTAACCGTGGGATTATAGGCATGAGCCACCACGCCTGGCCTATAATCATCTTTTCCTGTGTAGAGATAAAAAGAAATTCAGGCGGTGGCTCACACCTATATTCCCAGCACTTTGGGAGGCCAAGGCGGGTGGATCACAAGGTCAAGAGATCGAGACCATCCTGGTCAACATGGTGAAACCCTATCTCTACTAAAAAAAAAATACAAAAATTAGCTGGGTATGGTGGTGCGCGCCTGTAGTCCCAGCTACTCGGGAGGC